TTTCTTGAAATATGGCGTTGAGTCATTTCTATGAGCTCTGCAGATTCTTCTTTATGTTTTCTATCATTTTTATTGTGCACATAATTTAACAGTTTGTAATAGTTGAAGCCACATGTCTCCATGGCCTGCTTTATTGTTGAAACAGCCTTGCTCAAGGGAAGAGACTTTGAACTGTGTAACGCAGGTATGTGTATTTTCTTTGAACAATGAGTATGACATTCAGCTCCTCAAAAATGAACCTTTTGCTTGACTGAACAGCTTTGCTCTGGGTTTTGCTTGTCTGCTGAGGCAAATAAAGGCTGACAAGGAGGGTATTCCCAGCTAGTTAAAGACCAAGAGGGGAATAAAACAGGATTGGAGCCAGCTATCAGAAAATTCCTTTCTTGCTTAACATTTTATGTTGTACCCTATGTATTCATTAGAAACAATTTAGATAAGTCTCAGCTCTGAGTAACAGAATGTGGATCTCATTCTTCTCTGCTTCTAAGTATTTATGTGGGGGGAAGATCATTTGTAGTATGGTGGACTTTCTGGATACATAATTTACATAATTTCTTATTGAGAACATCGCTATGGTGATCAATATGATTGGTTTTACATCAAATGTTATTTGTTGTCATTTTAATTATCTACACAGGAATTATAAATGGGCCTGAGGATTTTTATTGGAAATTTTCCTGTAAATCTACATAATTAGATAGACTCTTCATTTGTTAATGAGTTCTGAATTCTGTCCATTAATTTAGTGATCTGTTTCTGAGTACTTACTATGTTCCTAGGATGATCCTAGATACTGGGTTTAAAGAAAATTGAATGAAATACTTGTCAGAAAGGGCTTGCTGTCTCTGTCAACTGGTTCCCACACCAGCCCTCTGAATGATGTGAAGTGTTAATTCATCTACTTAATCAAACAAATGTCGATTTGTTAAACATTTAGTAGGAATTTGGGTTAATTAAGCATTGGGAATAAAATAGTGAACTGTTTCCACAGAATATACAACCCAGTAAATTAGGGGAAGGTAAACTTTGATTAATGAATCTCATTAACAAAAGTATGGTCACCAATTCAAATACATTTTCTAGAGGAAAAGAATATGGGTATATCAGAGCATATAAATAAATAATGAAACTATTATATAAATAAGAATAGTCAACTCAGATATGGAAGGAGCCCAGGAATGAGCTAATTAGATCAGGGAATCTGGAGGAAAAGGCACACGGTGGAAGGTCAGCTTCCAGAAATAGCATATGAATGGCGGAACATGGGACTGATGAGAAGGTTCTATGATGGTAGCAATAATCAGCCATGTCCCATGATTCTGTGATGACAAAGGCTGGGGGGTGCCTGTGTCATGGGAGGTCATTGGTGACTAGAGCGGTTTCTATTTGTACGGGGATTTGGGGGCCCAGTTCTGACGGGAGTGAACTGATAGCTGAACAGAAAGGAAGGCAGACAAAAGACAGTGAAAGCCCAGCCTTCCTTTCAGTGCAGTGGTGATGGTCAGGGGGGCACTTGCTGGAGGAGGGGCAGCCTCTCTGGTTCCTTTCGCAGGAGGAAGAGGCTTGAATGTGTTTACATATTGAGAGGCAGCAGGATTCAGCTTATAGGAAGTTGTTGCATGCACCATAAAGAGGAGGGGAAACAAACACATTACTCTGCAGTCTGAAAGCAATTGAGGGTTAGACTAGAGTCCCGAAGAGGAACTACCTTTACAGAGAAAACAGAAAGGCCAGGTGGCAGTGGTCGGCATAGATTTGGTAGAAGTAATTCCCCCATTTGGTTTTCTCTAAAGACTTAGAATTCCCAGTGTCTGAAAGAGGGCAGGGGGAGGATGAGTCTGGGTTTCTAGAAAGTAGGGAAGGTTGATTGGTCATCAGATGACATGAGAGTGAACCAAAGGTCTGTGGAATGTAGGTTGATGGGCAATAATGAAGGTCCACCTGATGCTGGTGCAGATGATGCTATGTGACGCCCATCTGGGCTTTTCTGTGCTTTTCTCCTGTAGTGCTGCTGGCTTCTATAAGGCAGGCCAAAGCAGGTAACAGGTCATTTTGAGTCGAGGGATAAAGAAAGAGCAACAGGTGAGAGTATGGCATATTGGGAAGCTGTTGTTGAAATGACGGGGACTGGGGGAAGATTGTAGATGAAAAAGAACAGAGAAAGAAATGAAGACTGAGGAAGGGCTGAAACACAATGAACCATCTGTAGAGGAGAAGCGTCACTGAGAGGGAAAGTCTAAGCAGCCCAGCAATGGCATGGCTCCTCTTCCAAGGGTACCAATGCTGGCCAAACACTCTGCTGCTGCAAGTCACAGACAGGCGGTCTCAGTGATTATGGCAAGGTTGGCACTGGGGACAAAGCCATTGCTGGTGCCTGGGGGTCTTCTGCCACCTCTCCTGAGTCTCGGGACTTCCTTTGTCCTGGTGATGTGATTAGGCTGTCAAGGCTTTTGCTTTGTAGCATCCACCCTCTATTTCATCCAGGCTACTTGATAGTTGGTGGGAAAACAAACCAACAGAACGTTTCTCAGTCATTCTTCAATCTGCCAATGAGGTATAGCGCTTGAAAGGCATTTGAAAGCCTGTAACACCACAACTAAACAAAATCCCTATAGACTTTGATTCTGGTGATCCAGCAGGGATCTGGACGTGTACCCTGGGAGATGTTCTGAGGAAGGGCCTTCTTCTCACAATACACTAGGAGAGACAATACCTTGATTCTCTACGGCACCTTTCTCACAGCTGTTTCATTCTTCTGCAGACTGACCAATTCAGTATTGGAAGGCCTCAGGATCTCATGGACAGTTATCATCGTCTTCTTCCTTTTGGACTTTCCACCCTTTAAATATCCTGCACTTAATTCCCATATTAATTAACTTTAAGTGTCCGTTTGCTCTATTATCTCATTGCTTGAGGAATAGGATGCTGTGCTTTCCTGCTTACATGGAGGTGACATGTGACACCATGCTTTGTTCCTCGGTTTTAGTTTATTCCCCCAAACAGTGTGGTGTCTGTTGAATTGAGATTAGAACATTGGAGGGTTTGGAGGATGCACTTGAAATAGGAGCTCCCTTTGAGCGCCAAAGTTCTGTGGCTGTGTCCCCTCCCAGACTTGGTTCCGTCCCCAGCAGCTTCAGAGCCAGCAAACCTCAGTGTCAGTGTTGTCACGTATCAAGGGGAGGTGATCTACACACACCTTGTGGGCTATTTATGGATTTCATTCAGTGTTGCTGGCTAAGGCTGCTACCTGGTGTACCAGGTCTCTTCTTGCTTCCAGCCTGGTGTTTCACGTATCCCCACAACATGTGAGGGCCTCCTTCCCACCAGCACACCTTCCTTCAGGTGGCAAGCCTATGATTTACTCATCCCAGCAGGGCATTTTCTGTCTTTCATAGAAATCTTTCCTGTTTACATCCTCTGAGCTGTGTGTGTGTGTGTGTGGGGGGGGGGTGTTTGGGGGCGTGTGTGTGGGGGTGAGGGTTGAGGTTTCGGGGATGGAGCTTGCTCTTTCCTATTTACAATTTTTAAGTGATGTAAAACTCCTCAACAATTTATAAAAAATTGACCTCTGAGCTTAGCGTCCCAGAAAGTAAAAATCACAAAAGTAATTTTTTTTCATGCTTTGGGAACTCAATAAATACACATTTTATGAGTAACCAGGTTAACTTCTGAAAAACGACCCCCTTTAGCCCACAAAAACAAAACGCCAGTCGGAACACAAAAATGGAGGTCGGAACATTTAGCATTTATTTCCTTAAAACCTTTAGCCATGACTTTGCCTCTCTCTCTCTCTCTCTCTCTCTCTCTCTCTCTCTCTCTCTCTCTCTCTCTCTCTCTCTCTCTCTCTCTCTCTCTCTCTCTCTCTCTCTCTCTCTCTCATAGACAGTGGGCACATCTGTGTTCTTCTCCGTCGCTGATAGGCTGTACCATTTAAGCATAGTTCCCAGTAGGTAGGAAGGAATCCAGGAATGTGCGGACCCAGCGAATGGTTGCTAGGGAGTATGGCAGACGGGTCCTTCCTAGTAAATGCACATGGGAACTTCACAGAAGTGATTTCAGGAGGGCAGGGCTGACTCCTTACCGTCAAGTTTACTGAAGTAGGGCCAGCTCCCCGCCTCTTCCAGCTTTGCTGCCAAGGTTGGAGAGGGGTGGAGTGGCCTGGAAGACCGTTGGGAGGGTGAGGACTTGCTTTCTTATAAAGATGCTTTGGGTGAGTGACTCTAGAGCTCTAGGCATTCAGGAAGAAAAGAACTGGGAACTGGTGGCAAAAGACCGCAAATAGAGCGCAAAGTTTATTTTGTTTTAGAGTGAGCTTGAAGTGTAATTAAAACGTGGTATAAATCAGATAAAGGGAGAGAAATAACCAACAAAGTTAATGCCGTTGATCCTATCCCTTGGGCTCCCAGCTCCGCCTGGCGCTGGCTCCAGCTCCAGAGCTTCGGAACCCAACTAACTGTTGAGGGTGCCAGCGGCTCAGGAGCCAGTTCTCCTTTGCCAGTCTCACCCCTCGGATCAAACCTGTTCCTTGGTAGAATCATTATGAGAGACCTGGGGACAGATGCCTCCGGACAAACGTGGTCCCATTCTGTGTGGTCGCAAGTTTCTTAAGGGTCGCCTGGCCGGGAAGGGTCTGGCGCAACCCAAAAAGCAACTGGGCTCCTCAGAGCACCCAACTAGAGTGGACTTGCTCCGGGACTGGCCCCGGGCACTGGTTCCAGGGAAAACACCAGCACCCAGGGGGACTTTCCTTCTCAGGGGCGGGCAGGGTGGCGCTCCCAACCCGAGCAAGGTGGGCAGCCGAGACCCTCCTTGAAAAATCAAGAAAACAGGAGGCGACGAGCAGCCCCGCTGACTTTTTCCGGACGCGCACAGCGCTTTCCTAGAGGCGTCTGGACGATCCTGGAGGGAGGAGCAGGAGGGTGCTGGGGCGGGGTCGCCGAGCCACCGGGCGGGGACTGCCGCCCTGGCGCGGAACGCCCCCAGCCGGGCGCACGCGCTCCCATTCAAAGCCGGCGGACTGCGCGGCCGCTGCGGAGACGCGCCCACCCGCCCCAGCGCTGCGCCTGTCAGCCAGGGGTCCGCAGCCACCGCTCCGTGTCTCTGCCAGGACCATGTCGCGCCTGGTGGCGCGCGGGCCCCCGGGGTTCTTGGCTCATCTCATCGGTGGCACCTGGTGCCTCCTCTGTGTCGCCGGACAGGTAGGACAGCCTGAGCGTCTCCAGCTCCCCTGGACTTTTCCTCCCTCTTTTTCCCCCTAGCCTCTGCTGGAGCGGGAGTGTCACTTCGGGGAGCGCTCTTTTTTCGCGAAGCTCTATCCCGAGGCTCAGCCGTCTGGGGGGCATGGGACAGGTGGCGGAGAATTCTTGAAGCTAAGGCGGGTGCTGGCGTCTAGTGCCAGGTCAGCGGGGTCAAGCTCTGGGCAGAACTTCCTGGGACCCTGCCCCGGCTTCTCGCCCGCGCCCAGGTCTCTCTTTTAGCTGGGCAGAGTCGGGGCGAGAAGGCGGTGGCTGAGCCCCGGAGCTGTCATTTCCCCGGAGCGCGCAATCTGCATCCCTTCTGGGCAGCCCTTTGCGGACTCTCTCTCTCTCTCTCTCTCTCTCTCACTTTCCTGGGAGAGGCTCGGAGGGGAGGATGGCACACTCATTCCCTCTTCAGATCTTCCCCGTGAACATCTGACATTGTCACCAGAGTCCCTTTGTGTCCTGGGAGGGCTGTGTAAGTGTGAGAACTGCAAAACAGGTGGGCTTCCCAGTAGCCTGCGGGGGTGAGGGTGTGGGGAGTGACCTGCGTGGCTGCAGGAAGATTGGTTCTTGCTACACCCACTCCAAATCCTCCCACAATTTTGGCCTGACCTGGCAGAAAGTGGGGATTCTTCAGGCTACCTAGAAGGGTCCTGAGAATATAAAACCCACAGTGGTATTACTGCCAGACCTGGAGCATCTACTTAGGAACTAGAGCAGAGGTCAAGGGAGGGTCGTGTCAAAGTGTGAACCACCTTGGGATTGCTTTCCAGAGTCAGGTAACTTTTAATTAACACTCACCACTTGGGCAGCTTGGTCTTAATTTCGCCTACATTGATGTGATTTTCACAGGATTACTTTGGTAATTCTGGGAAAATGCCCAAATACTCTTGGCGGGAATTATCGCCAGATAGCCTCCTTTCCTCTGTTTTGATTACGGAGACTTGTCCAAATTGGGGGATTTCCTTCCTTTGCTTTTACATACGTTTTGAAATTCGTTTTCATATCTCTGTGTTAGTGGTCATTTTCATGGCAGCAGTGTGCTTTTGGAGAGAGAGGATCAGGTATGACTGCCCCTGAGGGGCCCAGAACAGGCTGAGACAGAGGGGAAGGGGCTTCCTTACTAGTGGAACTTTTCAGAATCCCACTTAGATTGTGGTAGAACATACTAGAAACAATAATGTTATCAGCTTGTTTTGTGCTCGCCAGCCTTAATCCACGGCAGGTTTCTCAGCTGTTGAGCTGGAACAGAATGATCTATCTATGGGAGTTCTTGTGGTAATGGACAAATTGCAGGTGGACTCTATCAGCTCCCTAGAGGAGTTGGGCGTAACTGCTCCCAGGTGATTGCACTCTGCTGTTAGATTGAAAACCACAGCGGAAAAATGTCCTGTCCTTATGTGAGCAGTTCTTACAGAACCATGACTCCCGATCTATACTTAAGAACAATGAAGAGAGCTTATAAGCATAAGCATAGGAGACTTCAAGCTTTCTGTACTGACTCTGTCTTACTAGTCATTGGTTGAGGCTCTTAACTTTCCATTTAATCTTTGGTGCATTGAGGGCCTTGGCCTGAGTTCTCCAAGGTACAGCCAAGCACCAACAATAGGTCCTCAAACCAAATCGAGACAGCCCCTCATCATCTTGTTTGAAATGTTCACATGGATAGAAACTCTACCTCATCCTTGAGGTTTGGATAAATTGTTTGCTAATACTGAATCCAACAAAGGTGTTGAATAACCCGTTAATGAATTGTCTTAGACTTGTGGGTTTTATTTATTTATCTTTGTTTGTTTCAAATGCCTACTCAAAACTGTTAGAAGTCACTCTGGGTTTTCTTGGTATTCAGATCAAACTGAACTCCCCAACACCACACACCTGTCCTTGACCTGCAGCACAATCACTCCTCCTGGAGGAAGCTTATAAACACAGATTTGGAATTCCAAATGGGCCTCCGCTGTTCTCCTCCTCAGAGCTGTTCTGCTCCTCAGAGCTGCTCTCCACATGAGGAAGCTGACAGAACTCATCAGGAGTGGAAAGGGGGAAAAGGGTTCTGGTATGTCCTGGTAGAATGTGGATGCCTTTGAGGGTCTTCTTGGACAGAAACTGGAGTAGCTGCATTTACAGTTTATTGTTTTCCTTTAACAAAACCCACACATGGACATTTCCTAATTATTGAGTAAAATAGATCAGAAATTTGAGGATATTTAATATTAAATCAAGAAATAAGTCTGTAGCCAATAGTCAGTATCATAGTATCTGAATATTGTTTGGAATTTTCACAGTTCTTATACTTTTAAAATTAAAACACTCACTACATGAAATAATGTCCGCTATCATTATCAGACCTTTCTTGAGTACATTGAAGCCACAGGAGGAGTGAGGCCATCAAGACCTTCTTCCCAATCAGATTGCAACAGTAGTTCAAAGAACAATTTCAATGTATCTGAGAATTGTTTGGAAATTCAACATTTCTTTCTTCTCATTTTCTTTCTACTTTCAGGAGTTATTTCTTTTTGCTTCTGATAGTTATTCTCCTATTTTGTAAGATCTCTTGGCTCACTCCTTAGGTTCCCTTGAAGCTGATTATTTTACTGATAAACCTCATTTTGTAAGCTGAACCCAACTCTATACCAATACTCAAGTTGCTCCCACATAAGGACATGCAGAGCAACGTCGTTATCCTGCACAGATAATGATAGTCAAGTGCTATGTTGGTAATGAATACAACCCATTACTACTGCTTTAAAATGGCACTTTGTGGTGGTCATTCAAACAAAAGAATATTTTCATCCATGGCAATATTCAAATGGTGTCCTTAGGAATTCAGTAGTGAAGTGCATAGCTCCAAGAATGCCAGAAAGAGTTTGTGGTTTCTTGGATTCATTCTCAACTAAGAACTTAGAAGAAGACTTGCTTGTGTCTTATTCTGTGGTGTGCAATTGCTGTTGTTTTATTGTCTTTCATTTTTGCCAGAATAATGACAGCTCTGCATGGTTGAAAATAAACCCAGGGCTTTGAAAAAAGCTCCTACTTTAACTGCTTGCCCCAGGCAGTATTTTTGTTTGTTTGGTATATTCTGAGATAGAATTGGCACACAATGAGCTGTTCATGTTTAAAATGTAAAACTTGGCAAGTTTTAACATAGGCATACTCCAATGACACCGTATTTACCAAATGTTTTCATGGCCTTTGAAAACGCTTCCCTCTCATTCTTACTTGAAGCCAACATCATCAGGAAAATGACATTGTTTTGCTAGTATACAGTACATTTCATGATATTTTCTGTTAGTGGACTGATACACTCTTATCACTTATGATTTGGCTTTTTATTTTATTTTTTACTCAGCATAATTATTTGAGATCATGCTGTAGCATGTAGCGATAATATTTTGCCTTTTGTTCCTGGGCATTTATCTTACAGTTTGTTGCATATGGGCTTGCACCTATTGAGAGCTGTGCATCTCTTCTCTCCTTGGCTGTTACAAATAGAGTTTCTTTGAACATTTGTGCACACAAATTTACAGAGACATTTGGTTTCAATTGTCTCTTGATAAAAGTTAGTAGCTTAATGGTTGACTCAGATTATAAGTGATGATCAACATTCTAAGAAACTAAGATTTCAAGATGTTCTAAAGTTAGCCAGTCCCTCTTTATCTACAGTTTTGATTTCTGTAGTTTTGGTACCTGTGGTATGAACATATTACATGGAAATTTTGAGACATAAGTCACAATTTCTAAAAACTTAAAATATGTTATTATTATTATTTGCTATTGAATTCTTCCATCACATGTATGCTCAGGAAGTCACATGATACCGTCTCTGGTTTCTTTCATCTACTGAGATGCAAAGGTGCATTGCCTGTGGGTGAAGGGAAATAAGTCATGTACCATTTTGCTTCTTTCGCAGTGATGCATGGGAGTTGCATGCCCTCTGCATGCTTGCCAATACCTGGTGGTCTTTTACCATACAAATAGTGATAATTCAGTCTTGTTTTTAATTTACAATTCCCTTCTAATGATTAAAGATGTTGAGTATTTTTCCATTCCTTTATTTAGAAACCATACATAGTCAGGCATTTCTTGACAGTAGAGATACATTCTGAAAAATGCAACATGAAATAACTATCAGTTTTTGAAGGTACTCACACAGACAGAGACTATGTCTTGTGGCTAATTTTATGGAACCACTGTCATGTTGGTGGTCACTGGAGTGACATTTGGTACATGAATAGAAACTTCAGCAAAGTTTCTATCAATTTTTTTCATTATTAGGTTGTTAGTTTTCTTATTGTTGACTGTCCAGGATTCTTTTTATATTCTGGCCACGAGTCTTTATCAAATGTATGATTTAAACTTATTTTCTTACAAGTCTTTGATGTGCCCTGTTTTACTAAACAATGCCTTTGGATGGTATTCAGTAACATTTTCTTTTTTTGTGTGACAAAAATACCCAACAGAAACAACAAGAAACAAACTGAGAGGAGAGTATGAAGGGAGGGGAAACTGTGATCAGGCTGGGGAAAAATAATTTACTAATTAATTAAAAGAATGGCTTGTGGTGCAGCACTTGCCTACCATGTGTGAGACCTTAGGTCACAGCCCCAGCACAGGAAGGAAGTGGGGAGGGAAGAAGAGAAAGGGGAGGAGGCCAGAGGGAGAGAAGGAGGGAAGGATAGGAGAAGGGGAGAGAAAGTCCAGCTAAAACTTGTGTAATGTCTGTACACTGAAAATCATCGAGTAATACTTAGAAGATCTAACTCAGAGAGGAGTGTACAATATCCATGGTCATGAGTCTTGATGTCGTGAAGAAGTAACTCCCAGTCCCTCCCCTGAACATTCCCCTGTAGATGAATGTTTTCCTGTGTATACTGGTTGAATAAAATGCTGAGTGGCCAGTTGCCAGACAGGAAGTCTAGGCAGGATAAACAGACAAGGAAAATTCTGAGAAGAGAAAG